AAGTAAATGAGAGTTGGGGAGAGAGTGGAGTCAGGAAAATTAGTTACTGAACCATTGTTGTAATCCAATTTATGTATAATAAAGATGTGACCTAGAGACAATAGTAATGGAGAGAAAATGATGAATGTATGAGATTTTCTATAGAGAGATTAAATAACATTTATGAAGTGAATTGTGAAGAACAAGGGATGGAAAGGAGTCAAAGATGGCTAAATAGTGGAGAAAGTGGTAGCACGTCTTTAGAAGAGAATGGTCAGCACATAGAAAAATATGTACGATAAGGGACGAGTCTGAGTAGAAATGTGATCAGTTAGGTGGTGGACATGTTGAGTCTGGGTGGAATGTTGAAAGGCAGTAATAATTATTGAATGAGAGTTGGGTAGTGATCAGGAAGCCTGAGTTCTGTTTGTGGCACTGCCACTAACTCACTGTGAGACAGCGAAAGAAACTGTTGAGCCTGCCTGACATTCATGTCCACTGCACCTTCTTCCCTTCTAATCCAAAAGAAACCAGATTGAGTTCCCACATCTACCCTACTTGGTAATGCCATGTGCCTCATGAATTCTGATTGATCTCAGCCAATCATGTGTCCTGTTCCCAGGACATGTCACAAGTCTAGCCAATGAGACATGAAGGAAAGTCAGCTGTGTGCTTCAGGGTAGTAAACACTCACTCTCAGAAAGAGCCACATCAGAAGAGATGTTCTCTCCTTTTAATGGACATCGTCCGATCTGAATGGGACACGAGGAACTGCTATAGCTATCTAACACCAGGGCTGACCTGTGGACAGACTAATGTGCTAAGGATGGCAAAGCCACTAGAGAGAAAGACACTGGACCAACACTGAACTCGCCATTAACCAACCCTAGCATGCCACAGACTTGTACTTGTTGTCATGGAAGATCATGCATTTCAGCCAGTTACACTGGGATTTCTGGTGTTTGAAACTGAAGGCTTTCTTACTGACCCAGCAGCTCAACTTACTCTCCACACTACCAATTCCTTTCCGGTAACTTGAGAGTGGCGTTTCTAAGAATTCTTCCAGCTCTATCCATCACGACTTTATTATTACAGGTAGCAACAGATGTTAAAAAAAGGAAGAATGGACATCTTAGAGAACAGTCAAAACAAAAATACAGCTATAGGCGTCATCTGTGTAATGTGAGACTTACAGTCTTGGGGTAAATGAGATTGCCGAATGAATCTTCTTATTGACTACAAAAACTAACAATAACACCTCATTTTATCCTCACAGCATTCTGCAGAGTTGGTTGGCATCATTGCCATTTTCTATGCACAAACCAAGACATAAATGTCAAAAAATTAGGGACGAACAATGTCCTAGACTCTAAGAGAATGTCAGGATATCAACAATACCATAAATCAGACAGGTTGAGAAGAATGAAGACTAAGAAAAGATCAGAAGGTCAAATCCTTGATGATTAGGAGGTTCTTAATGCTTTCAAGGCAACAATTTCAGGGAAGTCCTGAGGTGGAAGAAGGGAGGAAAGGGCAAGAGATGTTAGGGATATGAAGCCCACTTTTAGCGGAAGTTCAGCAGTCAAAGAAAAGGGAAAATGAAAACAGTACCTCAATGGAATAAGTTTGAGAGGAAAACAGTTTTGTCTCTGGTTTGTAAGGTGGAAAAGACCCCTGCATATTGGTGGACAGAGAGAAAGGGGCCAATGGAGGAGAAGAGCTAAAGGTACAGGAGAAGGAGGGCCTCACTGCTGGAGACAGATCTGGAGCACAGGGGAGAAGAAGTGCTCTTTGCCTTCCTCTGTTGTCCGCTGTCTGAGCTCCAGCTGCAGTGAGGGCTCTAAGGACTGATCGATTGGCAGACTGAGCTTATGTAATCACCACTACAAGGTATTAATAATGAATGAACATTATTTCTTTTATGCACTATTTTTATAGCCCTTTATAAGAGGACCGTTGGAAAAAGACCAACATACCTTTCCAAAAGGTATTTTTTAATGCATAATCACTGCAGAGTAAAAACCAATATTTACCTCACTCCCCTAACAGAATGTGACCTATGAGGAAGCAAAAGATGAAAAATATTAAAAATTAAATGGTTTTATACTGGGTCCCAAATTCTACTGTTAAATTATCTAGACCTCAATTATAGACAAAAAATTCAAATAGAATAATAATAAAAGTTGCCATTTAGTAAGAACTTACTATATGCCAGTCCCTGTGCTAAGCACTTACATATATATATTTTCTTATTTAATCCTTATAACACCCTGTGAGATGGGTGTTATTAACTTTATTTTATGCTGAATGAACTGAGGCTCTGAGAATTTATATCTCTAAAATGTAATTTCACTGTTCTATACCAGTTTTTATAAATCAAACAATTATTCATATATACTGAGTGTTAACTATGTTCTAGGAAGTGTAGCTACTTCCTAGTCTCATAGCAGCCATGTGGATGTCTATTTTTATTATCCTTATTACAGAAGCAAACTTTAGGGCCAGAAAATTAGGTATAGAACGCTAGAGTCTGTCCTTTCAACCAACATACTCTTGTGCCTGCAATGATTTTGAAAACTAAAATCAAGGGAAGACTCTTTCATTTGAAAATGGCTTTACAAGATCATTTAACATATCCAGCAAGTATGAGCCAAATCTCCAATTCTGTGAAAGAAGTATAGTATAAATATCCAAGGATGAACATGTGGCCTCAGCATATAAGCTTAGCAGCATAGTTAAAAATCTTTTGAGTCCAAAATGAATGCCAGTCATGAGACACTAAAGTGTGATATGTTTAGTATTTTCCCCCTTTATAACATAGTCAGTAGTTGAAGTTCCAAAGGAAAGAATGTTTTTGCTCTATGGTGCATTTTGCTATTAGTTTCCAACTGCATGTTGGCTTGGGCCTTTAAAGGGCCCTAGCTCATCAGTTTCCTCTGAATTCAGAAGTAATAACCAGAATAATGAGCAATACTGCAAAGTATCTCTCAGTAAGTGTTCCATTTGGTAGAAAGAAGAAACACCACATAAAAAATGTTCTGAAGCCATGCTGCCTTGGTTTATATCTAGACTCTGCCACTTACCTATGTGATCTTTGATGATTTTCTCATCCTATCCATGCCTCATATTCTCCACTGTAAAGCGGGGATACAATGAGTTAACATACGCAAAGCCTGACACATAGTAATGAGCACCATATAAATGTTAAGCTGTTACATACACCAGACAGTTATAATAGATGTAAATGACCTGAAAAGCACAGGTAATAGGAAAATGTAGTGAAATAATTAAACCTTTATTGGGTTTTTTAAAGCTGGGTCTGGCAAAAGTATGATGGATGGATTGGAAATGCGAAGAGACAAATGAGCCTAGAGAGACCAGTTCGGAATCTATTGCAGCAACCCTGGCAAGAAGATGGAGAAGAGATGGAGAGAAGATGGCTTGAGAGATATTTAGGAGGTTGAGCCATAGAATTTTGTTGAGCAATAGGAATGTGAATGATATATTTCATATTTTTGTCTTGGTTCATTGATGCCAACCATTAAGCAAAGGAGTAAGATAAGGAGTGGATTTTAGAGAGAAATAACACATGCGTTCCTTCCTTTCTATTCAGTGGCAATTTCAAAGCTTCACACCTTTCTCAAGCTTCACCAAAGATGCCCAGAAGAGACACTCACTTGTTTCTCCTTCAGGGAAAATAGAAGTCATCAAGCAAGAATCTGTCCATTTCCTTATTCCCACTGACTAACTAATCTGTATCTTCCTCCTTCACACTTCAGTGGAAGAGGTGCCCCCTCAGGTTTCACCCAAACCCTGTGCCCTATCACCTCAGCTTCAGTGAGAGCCTCTTCTCAGGCTTTTAACCTCTCCCACTCCACTAGCTCTTTTCTGCAGCACATAGCTTTCAAATGTCTCATATCCCCTTCCACCTCTTGCTTACTCCTTGCGTTCAGATAAATATCTACTGTTAATTCAAGCTATATTTGCAGTACATTATCACTGTTAAGAGCTCAAAAATACATAGAATATGAAGGACAAATTATTTGTAATTCTACTATCTGGAAATAGTTCTTGCTAATAGACTGGTATATTTCTTTCTAGTGATTTTTCTATGCATATATATGAGTATATATAAATGTCTACTTTATAAATACTTTTCACTTCAAATTCTAAGTATTTTGCCATTTTATTAAAAAATATTTCCCTTATAATTATTATAAACAAGCTATGTCTGGTTTAAATATATTACCTCTCACTGTTAAATATTTCTAATATTTTGTTAAGATGAATAGCATTGTATATATAAACATCTTTACTCATATTTCAGATTGTTTCCTTAGAATAAATTTCTAAAAGTGGGGCTCTTGTGTCAAAGAGTATAAACATCTTTAAAAATTTTAATACTTATTTCCAAATTGCTTTCCAGAAAGGTTGTACCAAAACACATTCCTATTCACTCTGCTTTTGCTAGGTTTATTACCACTTGTTTTAAAAGAGATTTTTTCATTTAATGATCAAACATAGTATGTTTTGTTCTGCATTTCTTTTATTAAAACTAAAGTTGGCCACTGAACTATACACTTAAAAATGATTAAGATAATAAATGTTACATGTATTTTACCACAATAACAAATTTTGAAAAGAAATAAAGTTGGATATTTTTAAAATGTATTAGTCATTGCTATTTTTTCTTCAGTGAATTATATGTTCATGTCCTTTGTCCATTTAACTATTGGGGTCAATAGTTTTCTTATTGATTTTTATGAGCTCTTTATATATTAAAGACATTCAATCTCTTGCTGTCAAATTTATTGAAACTATTTTTCCCTGTTTTGTCATTTAATTTTGTTCATGGACTTAGATGTTTATGGAGGAGGGAGTGGTATAAAGACATATAAATTTTGTATATATTAAAATCTTTTAATAATTTCCCTTGGGATTTCTTCCGTTGCTATTATGCTCAAAAAGTCCTTTTCTAGCAAGCTAACAGGTAATCATTCATCTACATGATTCTGTTACAGATATTGTTCTCCAGTCCTACCTGTAAAACAAAGATGAAAACACTTATTCTGTGTCTCAAGGAACTCTACTAGCCTGTGAAGGAGACAGACATACACACAGGTAAATATAATCTCATGAAAGACTGGTGAAGGACTGTTCATCCTGTTTAACAGAAGTTCATGACTAGATCAGGGAACCAAATTTGCCTAAAGCAGCTCATCTCCTGGTTTTATCATCATTAATTAATTTTGGGCTATTTAACATATGCACAAAACTGTGCTATTTCTAGAAATATATGAAATGGGAAAATGATAGATCCTCCCAGCTAATCAGCCCCTTCTTCCTGGCTCTGGAGCTTTTAAAAACAATGACTCATAGAATAATTCCCAGGCAACCATCCATCCAGTCTTCCCACAAGTCTGAATTTGTCAGCCTGTCTCAATTTTATCTAAGAAATTAAATCTCAATTTTAGTTTTATTAGTCCATTTACTGGTTTGCTGTTTTTAAAAGAAAAAAAACAAGTTATAATGAAGATAAACAAGAAATAAAAAGCCTTAAATACAACGGCAATGATTTTTGGTAAATGACCATTACTAAAGGTTTTCAGAAATTAATCAGCACAAATAGATGTGACAATCATTTGTGAAGAAAGTCTTCATAGAAATGCTTTACTTTGAGGGTTCTAGGAAATGTTGAGTTTCATACACTGCTAATAGGAGTACAACCTTTCCATAGGATAATTTTTCAATATGAGTTAAGAGGCTTAAAGGGATTTTAATTTTTGAAGTATTAACTCCATTTCTTGAAATCTATTGTAAAGAAATTAGAGATTTACAGTGATATGTATTATGATTGCAGTGATATGTATTATGGCAAGTATTCTAAACAGCCTCAAAAATAGGGAAATGATTAGATGAATTATTGGTAGAGCCATGCTACAGGATACTACATAACCACTCAAAATTATATTTTCAAAAAAATTTTATGTACAATGAAATAAGAATATGCTTTCTGTATAGTGCAAGATGAAGAAAATTAGATTACAAAAGTTATGTACAGTTAATTCCAATTTAGATATATGTTACATAAAAGAGATTGGAAGAAAATACACCAAAATAGTTTTCTCTGGCTAGTGTGATTACAGATGGTCTTCACATTCTGGGTTTTCCAAAATTTCTACAATTAACTAAGTTCAATTGGAGTGAGGGAGCTATTTTTTTGTAAATGTTTTGCTCTGTGCAGTAAAAGGCCAATTCTTGTGATTGGCTTTGAGGAGGCCTATTTCCACCCAGACCATTTCCAGAAAACAGGTGATGTTTAGAGGTATGGAGCATTCTGAATGCCTCTATGGAAAAGATGTAAAAGATAGGCTTCACACTTTACCTAAAAGATGTTCCATATTCATCTATGTTCCCACCCAGGCCTTACAACATTCTCTATAAAGACCCACCACTTCTTAGGGAAAACAATAAAGAAAAACACATTGAGTATCTGCCATATGCCAGGTAATTTCACATACAGAATCTTATTTGATCCTCACAGAAACCTGTAACATTGACTTTAAATGCACTTAAGCAACTTACCCAAATTTATAGAAATACTAAGTATTAGAGCTGAGATCTGAAATCTAGTCCATCAACTCCAAGTCAGGAGCTTATCACCACTACCCCCTTTATGTACATCTGCACATCTGAAATATACATAGTCAAGAAAATATCCATGTTATTTCAATTGCTTATCAGCTTAGAGAAGTGACACATTTGCATTCTGCACTAATTTGTTAAGTATATGATTATTTATATATATTTATGTATATATTTGTTACTCGTCATTTATTTAAGCCCTGCTATCCATTATGATCAACACCAAAAATAAGTTTCAAACTGTTTAATATAAAACAAATACCTTCCCTAACATGTTTAAAGGATTTGTTAAAAGAAAAAAAAACTTGAGTCACAGATTGTATATTTAAATTTCTCCTTCCAGATTCACTTCTTTAAATCACTTCCCAAGTCACTACAGATATATATTTACTTTCCTGGCAATCCCTTTGTACTTACCATTCCTCCCTGGTCTCCAGGCTTCCTGCCACACCAAAGAAATCAGTCTCTCTCATCTCCATTATTCCTAGACTAAAACCAATTTCAAATTTTAGTTTGGTATTCACCAACAGTTTTCTAAGACTGGCCCAGCTCTGCTTTGATCATTTACTCTGTATTCTCCTATTAGTGATGTATATGTCTTAAATTATTTTACACTTTTCTTCATATATCATTTTGTGTTTGTTCTCATTCACTTTATTTCTACTTATTTACATTATATGTTTCTCAGGAATCATGACCATGTCTTTTCCTCTCTTTCATCACTCCACATGCTTTGTTAAATGTTATGTACATTTCTTTATTTATTATGTACATAATGGGTGTCCAATAGATGCTTGTTAATTAACTGTCCTCAGCTTACACCTATTCACACAGTTTACACCTATTCAACTACAAACACAGATTCCCAAGAAAATCAGTGAAATGGAAAATGAAAAGGCAAAGGAGAAGACACCACACTTTGAATTAGCATATAAGACTATTCTCTCTTTCGCTTTACTAGTTTCTCTCAGGGTAAAAGGAAATAGAAGTTTGGTATGTCTGTCAGCTATTTTAGGAATTTCAGGATTGATGGCCAATATCAGGGTTGGCCATTGTGATTGAATCTCAATGGAAATAATATGAAAGTTCAAATTACATTAGCTTGGTCCTTTATGTGAAAAAATACTTAGTAATGTTCAAAAATATCATCACATATTAATTTGCCCTTACAGCTTTATATTTAAAAAAAAACTAATCTGATCTAAAAGTTTTTATACATAAGGATTGCTAAACTAAATGTGTGACCTTACTTAAATCATTTAACCACTCGACTAGCAGTTTCTTCATCTATGCAATAGGGATAATAATACGCTCTTCACCTTACCCAGATGGTTGTAAGGATCTTATGAGATGATGTATGTGAAAGCACATTATATACTCTGATGAAATATGCAAATATGAACTTACTTTTTTAATGTGGAGCTCACCATATGCTCTTTCAGTTATGATTTTTAATATCTGTAATTATTTGCGAGGCTGATGGATATGTCCCCCAATAATGAGTGAGGACACTTTCTTGTCTTCATTGAGACCGTTTCCATCTCTTGCTTCCTGCTGGCTTTATGATAATCACCACAGATCACATGCTCTGTAAGAAACAGACCTATTTTAGTCACTGGTATCACAGTCTGATCCTTTTGTTCCTCTGGTGCAGACTGTCCCCTCAGGTACAGTAAAAGAGCTGTATTCACTTAAAATCCTTGCACAATCTTAAGTGCATAGATGAAGTTCATTCTAACTATGCAAAATACTATGTTCCTTAAACAAGTTTTTATTCGTTTATACCACACTCTATCAGTTCCTCTATCAAAACTGCGCTTTTTGAATTGGTTCTGGCAAGATTCCCAAATATGCATGCCTCCAAATGCTTAATTATTTGGCACTAGAAGTCCCAAAATATCCCTAAGTAGTTAGAGGAAATGGAGGGGGAAAGAAGGTATGAAAATCATTACAGGTAATATGGTGGCTGCAGCATGTGTTCCCAACTGCCTTTCTCCTATAATTTCATTGAAACGACCCAGGAAATAAAAACACATCTATGTGAGCAAACCTACATCAGCAGTGGGAACGAGGGCAAAGGGACAAGCATTTACTAGCAACAATGAAGACAGTCTGCTAGACGTGGGACAGACTAATCTGTCCCCAAAGATGACAGAAGTATAGGAGGCCCCAGCCAACTCTCAATACTGATCCCTCACATGGAGGGACTAAGACGGGAAACTAGACTCATAAAGTCAAGAGCATTCTGGAAAGTCACCACAGAGACTCTGAGAAAAGCACCAGTCCCAGAGTACAGAGGGGCTTTCTCTTGACACATTTTTTTTAACCCAAGTTTATCACACTATATCCATTATTCTGCTTTGATATTTTCCCTTATCAGAATATACTGATCCACTGCATTATTTCTACTGTTCAGTCACATTGTTGTTTAGCTGTATTACATCTATGTATATTGCTGACAGAATATTTAACTAAATTCCAAAAAGTAAATTGCTAATCTAAAGGTAAGTGAATTTCATTTAGGTTAATACTGCCAAATTGCCCTCCTTGAAACGTCAAAGCCACCTATTTCCCATTACCAAAGAATAAAAGTGTAACTACAAATACTTACCAATTATTATACTGCAAATTTTTTTTAGTTTTAATGTTATGTATTTATTATCTTCTTTCTAATTCTTTTTTTTTTAACCCTCTAGAGGGCAAAGGTGACATTTCGTGTTCTTTTAATTTTCATTTCTTGGATGACTCATAAGCTTCAGCATATTTTCACACATTTGTAAACCACTGTATTTCTTCCTCTGTGAAATTTCTACTCTTCCTTTTGTCTAGTCTTCATTTGAGTTGTTTTTTGTTTGTTTATTTGTTGTTTTTCTTTTGCTTTATAAGCAGGAGAATAGTTAAGGAAACAGAAGCTGGAGCCAACCCAGCTGGATTCAAATCCCATCTCTACCACTTAGTAGATACATGACTTTGTAGAAGTTTATTAACCTCTCTGTACTTGTTTCCTCACTTACAAAATGACAATAATACTAGAACCTACTTTGTAGGCCTGCTGTGGGATTCCAAATGGCTTAAAATTTAAAAAACACTCGGATCAGTCCCAGGCACCAAGAAAAAAGCCTGATAAATGTTAGCAGTTTATAGGAGCTCATTGAATAGGATGGAGAGGAATCCTTTATCAGCACTGACTATTTTCTTCCACTCTGCTCTTTAATGTATGGTTTTGTTTTGTTTTGTTTTAACCTGTGTTAGAGCATACTAAACTTTTTCATCTTTATATAGTTAAATCTGTCAATCTTTTCTTTATAGAAAAAGACTCTAAAATCATGCTCAGAAAGATAATTCTCACTCCAGGATTTTAAGTCTCCTTCCACATATCCCTTCAATGATTTTATAGTTCTGTTTTTTGACCTTTGGCTTTCTGATCTTTTTGAAATTTATTTATAAGTTGGATAAGATAAACTTCATTCTTTTCC